GGCCATCATCCAGCTCGAGGAGAAAGGTGACACCAAAAGGGACCTTGGGGACAGCTTTGGGTTGGGATAGGACAGCTTTGGGTTGGGCACGGCCATCATCCAGCTCGAGGAGAAAGGTGACACCAGCACAGAGCTTGGGGACAGCTTTGGGTGGCTTTGGGTTGGGATGGGACAGCTTTGGGTTGGGCACGGCCATCATCCAGCTCGAGGAGAAATGTGACAATGGAAGGGAGCTTGGGGACATCTTGGGTTGGGATGGGACAGCTTTGGGTTGGGCATGGCCATCATCCAGCTCGAGGAGAAAGGTGACACCAAAATGGACCTTGGGGACATCTTGGGGTGGCCTTGGGTTGGGTTGCGTTAGGACACTGATCATGGCCATCATCCAGCTGGAGGAGAAAGGTGACCCGGGACACAGCTCGGGGACAGTCTGGGTGGCCTCGAGCTGTAAGTTTGCAGGAATTCCTCTGGGAAGGGCGGTCAGGCTCAGAAGGGGTTGGGTTCTCCATCCCCGGAGTGTCCGAGGAATTCCCGGAATTCCGGGTGACCACCTGGGGACGGGCCCCTCTTGGTGACCCCACAAATCTCCTCGGGGCCGCGCTGTGGGGGCGCCGGGACGAGGGCCCCGGCGCCACCCCAAGCTCCCGTGTCCCCGCAGAGGTCCTGCCCGTGGGCATCATCGCCGGGGCCACCATCGGCGCCAGCGTCCTCCTCATCTGCTGCCTGGTGGCCCTCGCCTGCTTCCTCTACCGGCGCCGCAAAGGAAGTGAGTGAGGGACAGCGGGTGGCCTGGCGGTCACTCCGCGGCCACTCCGTGGTCACTCTGCGGTCACTCTGGGGGTTTCTGTGGGCATCACTCCATGGTCACTCACTGGTCACCTTGGGTGTCTCTGTGGGGGTCACTTCATCGTTATTCTGTGGTCACTTCATGGTCACTCTGTGGTCACTCTGGGGGTCTCTGTGGGCGTCACTCCATGGTCACTCTGGGGGTTTCTGTGGGCATCACTCCATGGTCACTCATTGGTCACCTTGGGTGTCTCTGTGGGGGTCACTTCATCGTTATTCTGTGGTCACTCCATGGTTACTCATTGGTCACCTTGGGTGTCTCTGTGGGGGTCACTTCATCGTTATTCTGTGGTCACTTCATGGTCACTCTGTGGTCACTCTGGGGGTCTCTGTGGGCATCACTTCATGGTCACTCATTGGTCACCTTGGGTGCCTCTATGGGGGTCACTTCATGGTCACTCTGTGCTCACCCAGTGGTCACTCCATGGTCACTCTGCGGTCACTCAGGGTGTCTCTGTGGGGGTCAGTTCATGGTCACTCTGTGCTCACTCAGTGGTTACCCAGTGGTCACTCCATGGTCACTCTGCAGTCACTCAGGGTGTCTCTGTGGGGGTCACTTCATGGTCATTCTGTGGTCACTCTGTGCTCACTCACTGGTCACTCTGGAGTCACTCAGGGGTCACTCAGGGTGTCTCTATGGGGGTCCCTCCATGGTCACTCTG